CCAAGCTTTTTTTTAGAAAAGGAGGAAGACCCCCGGCCTCTGCATCTGGGCGATGCATGCAACCACTTTATTAATTATTCATAAAAGACCTTACAAAGAAATACAACGGTAAGTCTGAAGCCACCGTCTAGGCAACGTCTGTTGCTACGTCTATCCAGTTGATGAAGGAATGTTGATAGTCTGGGTCTAATACCAAACAAATCTTGCAGCCAAGCCTAACATTTAAGACCTGAGGCCCCAACCAAGCCACTTGCCGAGTATGGGGCACACACCAGTCTGGCGCGCTCTCAGAGGCCGCCACCGCCAACTGCCACCACTTCATCTTCAGAACTGTACTGACACATCAACCATGCCCGGTCTAGTTGTTGTCGACGCCACCACGAAGCCCAACGGCACCACCTCCCTGTGCATGAACTGCTGAGCACGTCGCGGTCGCCACCGGTACACCTCGGCACCATGCCGCCATATACCACCAGCCGACACAACTTGAAGTCTCTGGAAAATCCGTCGTGCGTAGCACCTGCCAAACAGGCATGACAAAGCGTAGCACCTGTCAGCCAGGCATGACTTGACATTTCCACCGAAGCTCCGTGTAAGACGAAGCCGCTCCAACTCCCGCCCTGTCTTCCATCGCTGCTCCACAAACGATACTCCCAAGAGAGAACGACACCGCAGTGACGTACTTGTACGACCTGGAAGACCGGATCCTAGGGTTTCCCCCAGAGCAGTACGAGTGGGTCGATAGTAGTCACAGGACGATGCCTTCATCAAGGTACGACGCAGAACGCCGCCATCGCCCGCCGTCGGCTCGATTTTCATCGGTAACTATGTCTACCCGACTCGTAGCTAGAACTAGATGACGGATCCTGAGATCCGAACACCCAGCCTCAGGCCGACCAGCTCCGACGGAAGAGATGACCACCACCGCCGACTGCACCGGCCAGAACAGATCCGACCGGAGGTGCCGCCGACGAGACCACCAGGCCCTCCATGCCGCCGCCGCCGATCTGAAGGCAGATTGCACGCCACCGCAGCCGCCGCCGCCGCCCGAACAGAACATCATATATTTTTTCCCGGTGTATATACAGGAGATATGATAAATGACACGCCACTTCTCACTCACACCTGTGGTTTGGGCCACCTGTCGGTGACATATGACTGGGAATTTTATCTGCATGTGGCCATCGCAAAAGAATGCAAGTATAGATGACAACATGTGAACATCTCGCAAGCCCAGGCCCCAAACCAAAGGAGGTGTGGGAATACGTTCATTGGCAAGAAATGGGGAGAGACAACAACTAATAACAGATGGATAACAGTACAGAGCTATTAGAGTTTTGGTGGCAATAATAACAGATGGATACAACAAGAGCAAACTAGAGTTTTGCTGCCAAAAGGAAAATGAAAAGAGCAAACTAGCTATAGTTGACGTTTCAAAGACTCGCCTTGACGCAGTCTCTGTTGCGAACTCATATATTCGTCGTCGCTGTCGATCGACATTGCACACCTAACATTCCGTTGTATCCATCTCCGTTCGCCTCGGCGAGCATCAGTAGTAGTAGGCGAAGCGTACGTGTAACCGCGCGCCTGCGATTTGTCAGAGCTGAGCCGTGCCCCATGCACAAATAACGAGCCAATAGGGCCAGGCAGGCAACAATTCGAAACGTGCGGGTACTGCATGCGTCCCTCGCTCTCACTGTCGCACATACTGCTACTTGCACAGCGTAGAGACGGCGCCCGCGCGCGCCGAAGCTTCCGCTGAGACGGGACCAGCAGGAGGAAGCTCGCCGCGAAAGCCCGGCGCCCGAACGACGCCGCGCCGCTATAAATATACGACGCCTCGCCCGCTTGTCGTGCTCTCTCCCCATGCACTGATCCATCGGCATACGCATGGCGGTAGCTGGAGCCGGGGCAGCGTATCGCTTCCACCCGCACGGCGCCGGCTTCGGCCGCTCGATGGCGTTTCCCCCGCCGCCGGGATCCGGCTGCCCCTACAGCTCCGGAGCCTCGTTGAGCTCTGCCGCCTTCGGTGCGGCCACCGGGCCCGGGGTGCTTCAGCAGGAGCTGGACGTCCTTGACTACTTGTCCGACGACGGCGGGGTGCCCGGCACGGCCGGCGCGCCGCTGCCGGTTGAGGCGGCGGTCGTGCCGGATGTTGGCTACTGTGATCATACGAGGTGAGTTTATATGATTCAGTTCCTGCATGCCAAGAAGACCCAAGATACACATTGTGATGTGAATCAAGTCGCATGTATACACAAACACCAAGAGCGTGCAAGTTTTGATCTGATCGGTTTGGGATTGTTCTGGGCATAAATTTCAGTAGGGCGGCCGCGGTGGCGGCGAGCGGCAAGATCGCGTTCCGGACTAGGTCGGAGGAGGAGATACTGGAAGACGGCTACAAGTGGAGGAAGTACGGCAAGAAGTCTGTCAAGAACAGCCCTAACCCAAGGTATCCAAAACGAACGAATTCATTTACTTTTCTATAGATCATCAGATTTGGGTTGGAAAAGTTTGGCTTGGGGTTGCAGGAAGGGATTAATTGGCATGTACTATATAGCTCTCCTCATTTACTCAGTGTGATTGACCATAATTTGGGTGAAATCGCTAAAATTTTGATGAGTTTCTTTCTCCAGTTCTCTCCCATCCCGTGGTTCATGATTTCTAGCTGGTAGTTTCATGGCCTAGTTTCTAGGTCAGCTGGTATGGATCAGGCAGATTCTGTAGCTGGTGGACCAATTCTGTTGCATTTTGCTTGGTTCTTGCTTGGATAAACTTCCTTAAGAAAGGAAAATCTTGGCTAGCTTGTCGATGGACGACCGTTTATAGGTTATTTATTTGTTCTTATTATTAGTCCATCCAATCTACGTTTAGATTCGTGACTTTAGTTTGATGATGCTGGACCCAAGTTCCTTTTTAACAGGGAGTCGTTTTTTTTTAAACTAGGACAGGGAGTCATTTTGGGATGTGACCAATTAAAGGGAAACGTATTGTATACGATGAGATCTAGTGTTTGAAGTAGCTAGGAAAAAAGATGATGAATTCTCGGCAAAAAAGAAAAGAAGATGAATTCAAGGTCTCAATTTGCTATTCTTCTGTCGATCCAGAAATCCCTGTTTGTTAAGCCGTCTAAGATGTACAATCAAATGTAAATTGCTCAAGAAATCCTTATCCTCGCTCGCTTGAGATGTACAATATTTAATGTAAGTTGCACAAAAATATGTGTAATTCCAGGCTAAGAAATGTGTGACTGCTCAATTGCGAAATTAGACTTTTTGAGTGTGGTTACTAAACAACAATTTTTCAACATAAAATTTACACATACTTTCAATTGGTAACCATCTAATTATTGTTGGGTTATGATCCTAAAGCTTGTAGAGTTGACCAAGGTATAAATAAATCTTGACCGGCATAGCCTTTGGACACTTCCATAGAAATCTCAATTTGTGCAAATTATTGCTGTCTAACATATGCGTCTAGTTCCATAATTTTATTTTATTTTGGGGAAGTGTCTAGTTCTACATTGTAATGAGACAAATTGCAGTTTTATGTTTTGTGAAATTTTCATAAAACTTTTGTGCAGCACATGGTTTCCGTTGCATTTTTATGATGTAATGAGCCTTGATTTTACAATGAATTTTCGAGGGGTGAACACTAAAATCTACCAGAAATATGTCACTAAATATTTGAATCTTCTTGTACACGTTTACCATGTCTATATAAACAAACTTACACTTGATCCATCAATCAGTTAGGATCTGTTGGCAAGTCTTGAATTTCCCCTATTAGTTCTTTGCCAGAAAAAACTATTACTTCTTATAGAGGAAAAATAACCTCTTACTTTTTCTTAGCGTAAATCCCTTGCTATGAGAGGAATGGACTAGCAAATTTCTTGCCCCTTAGGCCCCTCAGGTCCTCATGGTCCATGGCCTCATGACAAAATCTTAGGCGCTGTCAATAGCCTAAGATTTTATTTAATCTGAATTTCATTTATTATCACTGCAGGAACTACTACCGGTGTTCAACGGAGGGGTGCAGCGTGAAGAAGAGGGTAGAGAGAGACAAAGACGACGCAAACTATGTAGTGACGATGTATGAGGGGGTTCACAACCATGCGAGCCCTGGCACAATTTACTATGCTGCTCAAGATCCTGCTTCAGGCCGCTTCTTTGTTACTGGGACGCATCAGCTAGCTCCTTGATCAAACACTGGATAACATTTGGCGTGTGATTGGTCTTCCTAGAATGAAACTTAATGGAGTTGCTTGTAAAGTTGTGCAATACCTCTTTTAAGTGTACATGTCTCATATTTTAGAGAGTAGATCAATCTTCTCGGTTCTAGTGACATCAACAACAACATAAGGCTTGTTCACTTTTTTCTGCTACAAAGGACGGTTGGTTCACTAAACTAAAATTTACTAGGAAGCGAAACTTGATTTTCTTCAAATTTTTATGATGAGATTTCGGTTGAAAGTGGCTTGAATCAGATTGAAAGTTGATAAATCGTGAGTTGAAAGTTAACTTCCATGAGGTTGAAACCTCATTTCTTTTTCAATCAAATACCCTCCATATCTCTTGTTGTGGTAAATGAAGTCTTCACATTTCCTAAAATATTGCTTTTGTAGTTGAAAGCCGATGTTCATGAAGATGGAACCAAACCTTATTTAGTTAAAACTTCCTAAAAACTGTTGTTTTATAAGTTGAAAACTTCCCATTTCCTAATTAAAATGAGTTGAAACCAATGTTCATGAATTTGAAATTTAACATGTTGCGGCTGAAATCCTAAAAAATGTGGTCGAAGTTCGACTCTTTCCATTTGGTCGGAGATGTTCTTACAGGGGCATGTCAGGTCAAAAACCACTCACGTCACATTGTGTAATAGGCCCCCACAATATATAGTGCATATCGGTCAATTAATTCCTTCACCTTTTGTAGGGTTCCAAACATGTAATACATCTTTTTATTTATCGTATGTGGAATTCCAATATAACATGTATGTTTATCTCTCCTCCCCTCTTTATATTTAATAAATACTCTGCTAAGTCACTTGAAGCATCTAAAAATGTATGAATTAAAGAGTTACTCTCATCAAAAGGTGGGCACGGATAGCTAATCCACTCTTTCTCCTATTGTTCTTCCCTCTCATCCTCATCTTTTTCATCTAATGAGCTTACAATAATTTCTTCTTTCATTGGTTCGTGCAAAACATTAGTCTCTTCTTTGATAGAGGTGATCCTTTTGATTTAATTAGTAATATAAGGATTACTATTGAAATTTTTAAAGAAATATTTAAGTATAGAAAATAAATAAATTTATAATAGCATCATCATTTCCAACATTCTCAAGCAAAGAGGCAATTTCATAAGCAGCCTTAAAAACAACAAATTCTTTAATTTGTTCTATTTCACAAAAATCGTGTTTTTTCCTTAACAAAAGAAGTTAAGGTGTCATTATCATTGTACTCGCATTCAGGGTCGGTCCTGAGATTTCAGGGGCCCGGGGCAAGATAACATAAAGGGGCCCTAAAACCACATAAACATGTAAGTATTTTGTTTTCATATTTCAACTGCAAATATATACTCGATGCACTATAACTTAGGTTGCATTGTCATCTCAACTATAAAAAAAGGGGTCATAAATATTCATAGTAAAAGTTGTCGATCTTGTCAATTGGCACCTATATTTTTTGTATTATTAGCTCAACCTATAATTATTTTGCTAGGTTGTTCTTCAACAGTATCTAAAGCAAATTCGTTTGAATTCCCAGTAGTAGAACTACTTATGCCTGTTTCCAAAATTATGTCAATAGAGTAGCTACTTTTGGGAACTCAATCAACACAATGTGTGTTTTTTCTCCTTACCAGATAGATAGTAGCAATCTTGCTAATTGGCACAAATGTATGAAGCAAAAAATTAAAAGACAGCTAATCAAATAAAAAAAGCTAGAACTTGGTACCTGGATGGCTAGAAAATTAGAAATTGCAAGATTTTGCTGCTGCTTATGAATCACGAATAAACATTTGAGTTCCTCTTTTGTAATCCCAGAAAATCAATAAATTAGACTGTGAGAAAGAGATTGTAAGAGGGAATAAAGGATGATCTTCACGAACTAATGAATGATCTGAGAAGAATACAAAAATAGGAGACTTGCGTTGAAGAAGAGGTTAATGGGAATCTGGAAATCACAATACCTTCTTCCACTAATCGCACCCAGCAGCTGAAAATCACAATGACGCGGGCCGGCCTGGGCAATGACTGATTTGTTGCCTATTGCGGAAGAGAATGAATAAAAGCCGAGAAGACTGTGCGTGCATCAAGCTGGGAAGTAATCACTATTTTCCATACTTTTCCATAATATTTTTCATGCGATCCCACAAAGGACGAGGAGTAATCAATCTGTAACATCCTTTTCCTGTTACATGAGAATCTATCGATTGGTTACATGGGCTACACACGTATGGGGAGCCAAGCCCATCGGGGGGGTCCTTCATGCTGGTACGGTAGGTATTTTCCTCAGTGATGAGACCAAGGTAATTGAACCAGTAGGAGAACCACGCAACACTATGTAAACGGTACCTGCACACAAAGAACACATACTTGCAACCTGGCGTGTAAGAGGGTTGTCAATCCCTCCCGGGTAAAAATATAGATAAACTTATAGTAGATTGGATAAATAGATCTCGTGGAAACGTGAAATAAAATAAAAAATAAAAAATTGCAACAAGGTATTTTTGTGTTTTTTGATTAATAGATCTGAAAATA